ACCTCAAGTCTTCATGTGGTGTTGTGAACCACAACAGCAACACCCATATGTCTGTCATTATGGTGTTTCGCTGGACAGCCACATACACCGTCCTAGTGTATGTGTCGTCTCAGTGCTCCTTGAGACACCTCGCCCTGTGGCATGCACTACACCTAGCGGGGGGGGGGGGGGGGTCAAAGGTCACACTCAACACTACACCATTACAAACTGACCCAATTCTTTCTGGTTGCACTTACACACCAACTGAGAGCCCTCTGGAGTTCACCCCAGAGCATAGCCCTTGGGAGTCAATCCCAACCGGGTGCTCTACACAGTCCGCTCCTGCGCCAGTCTATGTCGATTGGGGTTCCAGGTTTCCGGACTAACAATGTTTCTGATGTTGGTCACGTGTATCTTTGCAATAGGTGACACGGCTAAGCCTGCTCTTCAACGGCTCTATGATCCTGGACCCCTTTCGGGGATCACCCTTAAGGAGCGCCCAGGACTGTTGATGACTTACTACCATCTCTTTACCCAGAAAGTGTTTAGCAGATTAAACCTTGAAATTGTCTGTTTTCGGAAACTGATGAGTTCCTTTGGGTCTCTTTCTGACACTGGATAATTGGACTCATACTATGATGTGGCACTCTGAGGCCGACATCTCTCCAGCTACAGAAATTCACTGTTACCAATACCAATCTTTAAATTCTATCAAAATTGAAGCTGTAAAACGTCATGTCACCGAGCTTGAGATGGAAGTCCCTTCACTGCATGAACTTGTGCTTCGCCAGTGGCATGCTTTTAAGCTACTAGGTACATCTCATTACCAGACTATGGTTGTCCTGAACACGCACAGTAAGATGCTGCGTAAGAACACCACCATGGTGTACGAACTTTGTTCTTTTATCTCAGCCAGCTATTCTCACACTCAGCTGGTGACCTCTTGTCTGTCCAACTATAGTCTGGATGTTAGCGATGTTAGCTTATGGGGAGGATTCCTCTTTTTCTTGTCTCTCTGGAAATGGTGCATGACTTGCTTAGCGGGACATCTAAGGAATATGTGATTGCCTTTCACCTACCTTTTTCCTTAGGCAGTGCTATTCCCCTTCTAGTTGACCCTGAAACTGGAGTACTAGCATTCATCATCAACTTGCAGGTCATGTCCCCAGGTGATGTTTACTGTCAACAGGACATAATCAACGTCAGTAGCTGGGTAGTTGCTACTCATGTCAAGCTACGCCGCCAGTGGTTCCGTTTCTCGGTGACAAGCCGGAAGTCCTTCTTGTACATGATCTGCGTACATGTTCTCTCACTCGTGTGATCTGCAATTCCTTGGTCCAGGAACCTCTTTTCTGCATAACAAAACCTCAAGCTTGTGTGGTATTGGGGCAATGACGAAGGAATCTACAGGCCCTATGACCATCAGTCCTCGATTGCACGTGTTACAGACTACCGCGGTTAACGTTGGCCTACTCTGGTCAGTGAAAACCCTGCCCTCAAGGCCGAAATGTTCTATATATCTGATTTTGGGATCAGTACGACACCTGCTGATGCAAACCTGACAATTGAAATATTAAAATCAAATTTGGTTCTCCAGTTGTTTTTCCATTTAGTATATTTGGTCTGAGACTGAAACAGAAAATACGAAAAGCACAACATTTTTTGATTTTTTTTTGGAATCTGTTTCTAAAACAAATTTTCCTTTTTTGATTTTTTGTTTTCAATGGAAAATAGAACGGATGATATACAGATTTTCTTGTTTTTGTGATTCTGAAGTTGTTGTGTTTAGTGATTTGTTAGTGTGGTTTGCAGTTCAGGGCCTCCATATTTATCAGACTTCAGGTGTAATTGAGAGAAAGGAAGCTTATCAAACTCTACAAAATTTTCAGGCATAATGCACTTGTAGGTAAGTTTTTCAAAGCAGTGTCTGTCAAGTAGCTAATAATTTCTAAAATCATTTAACTCATCATACCCAATAAAATAACTATCAGAGCTGTGGCAGCGCCAGTGGGGCACTAGGGGGGCGCTATAGCTACCCCTGGATTAGTCATTGTACCCCCATAGCACCCCCAAGTAAATATTAGATTATTGTTATTTTCTTTTACAATTTAATTTTAATTTAACGTGTGTTTAAGAGCAGACTTGAACCTCCCGACTGATGAAGCCAAATGCATATAGAGGGGCAGAGAGTTCCAGAGTTCGCACTCCCCTCGAGATTTGTATCGAACCTTCAGAACAACCAGCAGCAGCTGATCAACAGATCAAAGGGGACGCGTGTGGGACAACAGCTCTACCAGAGAGGATGGGGTGGGCAATTCAAAGTCTTGCATACATATCGCAATAAACCCTTTAAGTAGTACTCCCAAATGATTTAAAAGAGGTAAATGAAATAAAATATTTTAAAAAATTATGAAAATTAAAATTGAGGAAAGCTAAACAATTTAGATAATTAATATTAACCCTCTGGAGTCCAGGGTGTAATTTGCCATTTTTGACTAATTTAGAGTTTTCCTTGCTTTTCCAAAATAAAAACCATAACCACTGCCTTATGTGGTATCAATCTTTTCAGCACAACCTGGACTTTATGAATTCATACTTATTTTTTATATTTGGACATAAAGGGGTTGCATATTAGAGCTTAAATCACTCAAAAACATAAAATCCGAATGGGAAAAAAGTTGTTTATTTTACTGTGAAACCAACAAACATTTATGACAAATCTTTTTTATAATTTAGAATGGTAATCTAGACAGTACATTTATAAAAAATATGACTAAATATAACAAATAACACATTTAAAAAATAAATTATTAGCCCTCTGGGGTCCAGGGTGTAAATCACCGTTTTTGAGTCATTTTGATTTTTCTTTTGTATTTTCTAATAAAAACAATAAATATTGCCTTATGGAATATCTTTTTTTTTTCAGGACAACCTGGAATATCTGAATTCATATGTATTTTATTAATTTGGCAATAATGTACATGCAATTTGGAGTGGGGAGTGGCTCTGTCGCACGCCGAGATCTGATAGCTGCGCGGCGCCGCCCACCCCTCTTGTTGGATCTCTGAGGAGCTGGATCTCTGCCTTCATCCTCTACCTCATCATGACCCAACTCTTCTATGAGGAAGGATGGATTTGCCACATCCTCATCAATATCCTCGCTATTTGCCTCAGACTCCGGCTGCGAGTCTCCGCCCACTTCCTCTGCTTCCAGTTCAAATAACAGCCGTACTATCTGAACTGCCTGGTGGGCATTTATCCTTCTCATCATCCTTTATATAAGCCTAATAAAAGCCTACTAAACTGCAGAGACAATATATCTGTCCGGATCGCTCCAAAATATGAAGTTTACCGTTAATATCTGTCTAATTGTTGTTTCTCCGTTCGCGCCACTCCTTTCCCTACGAAGCGGCTCCTTTTTGCGCACATCTCGTTACTCGTGCAGCCCTCCTCTCTCTCTCAGCTACATAATGATGCTTTTTATCAGCTGAATATGTGAGACTTCCACCAACAGCAACAGGATCTCATGTTTTTGTGTTTTTTTTATGTTCACAAGCACGTTCCCTCTCACAGATTACTAAACAGCTGTTTTGACAAGTTAACAGATTGTCTAAAAATAGGTTGTTTTTTAGTTTAGTATAACTCCGCTTTTACGTTGCCTATTGACAACATTTAAAAACTGGGGTGTAGTTTATAATCTCCTTTTTAAAGCTGAATTGAGACCGAAACTCAGGGAGACGGAGTCTTGCTGCTACAGCGTCCCAAATCAGACCTGTTCAAAAGACGCGGATACGCGTCCATGGACCCCAGAGGGTTAAAACAAAAGTTATCTAAAAGGAACGAATGGAACCGAGCTAATAAACAGTGTAATGAGTTCACATTTACTCACATATATTGGTCCAGTTAGTCATAACTGCAAGCCAAGGACTACAGAGGCAGTTTAACATCAGATAGTTTATTTATAATGCATCTCTGATTGGATTTGATCAATAGATGCAGACTTCCATCCTGAGTCTAGTTGGCTGCAAGTTTATTCTTGTAGTTTTTCTGAAGGTCGTCCAGTAATTTTGCATGCCTCGCAGTTAAGCTCTCCATGATCTTTTTTGGTGTTGATGATCTCTTGAATTGTTTCTTCATCCTGTAAACCATGTCTCTGATGTTGAAGTCTTTCCTGTCCAGATCTAGGTCTCAAGAAAGTATTATTGTCCAAACCCTAATGGCTGAAGTTTTTGTTACCAGTAGATATTTAAAAAACTGAGAAAACTCAAAATGTGGATGAAATTAGTTTATCCCATAAACTCAGTCTGTTTATCTTAACACCTCATGTGATTATAACACCTCCTGCCTCCTATTGGCTAATATCCCAAATAGTAAACCCCAATAGCATCATATGCACAATAAAACTGTGCAACCATCTGTTTTCATACTACATTTGGATGGAATGATGCTTCCTCAGTGCTTTAAAACTGGACACAATTAAGTTATTGAATACAGGATTATCCCATGTAAGAATATTCATAATAATAATGCATTATATATATATATATATATATATATATATATATATATATATATATATATATATATACTTGTATGAGCTGTTATATATATATATATATATATATATATATATACTTGTATGAGCTGTTATATATATATATACACAGCTCATACAAGTATCTACACCCTCCTGCATGCTCAGATCCTCAGCTTCCATCGACCTACACAATATCCTTGCTCATCTGGTTACCATGAGAAGTCGAGCATTCGGCTGATCTGCCCCTTCCCTCTGGAATTCATTACCAGTTAAACTCAGAAATACCACTTCCCTTCACCATTTCAAGGCTAACTCACCTGTTCAAGATGGCCAATGCTGTAACTGTACTTAATGTATTTGATTGATTTATGTTTTATATTTTATTATTATGTATTAGTAAGTACCTTTCAGAAAACACAAGGACACTTTACTGCATGAGTCTGTTCTTAGTAAAAATATCTAAGGACTGATGTTTGTCTTCCAGAATTGTGTGCAGGACCAAACCCAGTAATGAGGAGAAGGAGGAGCCTGTTTCTGTGTCAGTGAGTGGAGGAGAGCTTGGCCTGTCCAGACAGAAATTCAGCTACCTGGTACATCAGATTCCTATTATTTGATGCACATATCCATGATTATGTTTTTAGCTGCAGCAAACAACAAGAATAACATAATTAAACTAAAGCCTCTTTCATAAAACAACGTCGCTCTTTTTGCCACAAAGCTAAAGTGGCTTCAGGGAGCCTTTGGTCAATTATAATGGGTCAGCCTGTGATGGTAATTAGGTGCGATCATGCAGTTTTTTTAAAAAAAGATTACACATTGGTGGTACAAAGGGTGTCATGCGTGCCAGTGAATGAAGCCGAGGAGAGGCGAGGATCCATACTGGGGAGGAAACAGGCAGACAGGTAGGATTTCTTACACTGATTTTATTCTGAGACACGCTGGACAATGAAACAATGGACCGACACAAGACACAGAACAGAAGGGGCTCAAATACACGAGGGCAGGGAGCTAAGGTGATTGGGAAACGAGAGGCAGGTGGGGGCAATTAACGAGACACAAGGCTGAACCAAAACGGGGAGACAAGACAGGGTGTGACAGTACCCCCCCCCCCCCAAAGGGCGGATCCGAGACGCCCACAGGGACAAGGAGCAGTGCGGGAGGAGGGGGAACCGGAGGGAGGGCCAAGAGGAACCAAGGGACCAGCAGAGTCCGGGGACCTGCACCTGGGGCAGAGGAGGAGACGACGGGCTCTTGGAGACCTGCGCCTGGGGCAGAGGAGGAGGCGGTGGGCCCTTGGAGGCCTGCGCCTGCGGCAGAGGAGGAGGCGACGACGGGCTCTTGGGGGCCTGCGGCAGAGGAGGAGGTGGCGACGGGCTCTTGGGGGCCTGCGCCTGCGGCAGAGGAGGAGGAGACGATGGGCTCTTGGGGGCCTGCGTCTGCGGCAGAGGAGGAGGCGACGACGGGCTCTTGGGGGCCTGTGTCTGCGGCAGAGGAGCTCTGCAGGCTGGGCTGGGGACATAGTCTGTGCAGGCTGCGCCGGGGACATAGTCTCTGCAGGCTGGGCTGGAGACAAAGCCCCTTGGACAGGCTGGGCCGGAGACAAAGCCCCTTCGACGGGCTGGGCCAGAGACAAAGCCTCTTGGGCGGGCTGGGCCGGAGACAAAGTCCCTTGGACGGGCTGGACCGGAGACAAAGCTCCTTGGACAGGCTGGACCGGAGACAAAGCCCCTTGGACGGGCTGGGCCGGAGACAAAGCCCCTTGGACGGGCTGGGCCGGTGACAAAGTCTCTGCGGGCTGAGTCGGAGCCTCATGGAAGGGCTGGACCGGATACTGTGCGACCTCCTGAACCACCACTGGAACCGGAGATGGCAGAGATGTCGGACCAGAGGGAGCGTCGACCTCTAGAGTGGAACGAGCGTCGACCTCTGGAGTGGAACGAGCATCGACATCAGACGAGGCGTCGACCTCTGGAGTAGAGAGAGCGTCGACATCAGACGAGGCGTCGACCTCTGGAGTAGAGAGAGCGTCGACATCAGACGAGGTGTCGACATCAGACGAGGCGTCGACATCAGATGAGGCGTCGACTTCAGACGAGGCGTCGACTTCAGACGAGGCGTCGACTTCAGATGAGGCGTCGACCCTTGGACAGGAAGAGGCGCCGACCCTTGGACAGGAAGAGGCGTCGACCCTTGCACAGGAAGAGGCGTCGACCCTTGGACAGGAAGAGGTGTCGACCCCTGGACAGGAAGAGGCGTCGACCCTTGGACAGGAAGAGGCGTCAACCCTTGGACAGGAAGAGGCGTCGACCCTTGCACAGGAAGAGGCGTCGACCCTTGGACAGGAAGAGGTGTCGACCCCTGGACAGGAAGAGGCGTCGACCCTTGGACAGGTAGAGGCGTCGACTTCAGAACACGAGGAGGCGTCGACTTCAGAACTGGAAGAGGCATCGACCACAGGACAGGGCATCGACCACCATCGACTTCTGGTCCGGGGGCGTCGGCTTCTGGTGCGGGAGCATCGACTTCTGGTCCTTCGACTTCTGGGCCGGCGACCTCTGGACGCCGGCCTCTGGACCAGAACCGGAACTTTCTGCTTCTGGTCCAGGGGTGTCGGCTTCTGGTCCGGGGCCGTCGACTTCTGGTCCTTCGACTTCTGGACCGTCGACCTCTGGACCGGAACCGGAACTGTCTCCTTCTGGGCTGGTCCTGTCTGCTTCTGGGCTGGTACCATCTGCTTCTGGGCCGGTTCCGTCTGATTCTGGGCCCGAACCGTCTGCTTCTTGGCCCAAACCGTCTGCTTCTGGGCCCGACCCGTCTGCTTCTGGGCCGGATCCGTTGATGTCTGGAGTGGAGGCGGAGCAGCTGTGGGAGGGGCTGCCTGGACAGGCTGCGTGTGAACTGGCGGTACTGGGAACGGAGAGAGCAGGGAGGACAAATCGTCCAGCTGAAGCTTCCGGAGGCTGAGGGCCCGATGGAGCTGGGCCAGCTCAGCCCGGAGACCGACGAGCTCCGCTGGATGAGAAGAGGAGGATAGAGCATCCAGGTGGGATTCCTGGGAGTTGATGAGCTGACGGAACCGGCCAAGCTTCGCCGGAAGACTGACAAGCTCGGTCAGCTGAGCTGCGGCCAACGCTCCTCCCCCTGGAGATGACGGAGGTGCTGATTCGGCAGGAGACGGGAGCGCTGGTCGGGCTTGGGCGTGTCCAAACTGCTGCGCCGGGCAGGGGCAGCAGCGAACTCACAACTCCGTCCCGGGACACCGGATCACGGTGGAGTCCGGCGTCTTTCCCCACGCCGTGGACCGACTCCGGGGGAACAGACAGCCAGCCTCGTGCCCTCGAAGCCGGAGCGATCCAGGAGCGTCTCCCGATCCAAACTCCCATCCGGTTCCGGAAGGGCGGCGAGGATCGCCGAGGCTGACGGTCGGGGACGTCGGCGGCGGGGAGGCGGAGCTGGGGCTGGAGAAGGAGAAGCCGGCTGGTGGGTCGGGGTAAGCCACCGGAGCAGGTACTCCCATGGAAGAACCTCCCCGCTGGTTCCTTTAACGGGTCGGTCCATTCTGTCACGCGTGCCGGTGAATGAAGCCGAGGAGAGGCGAGGATCCAGACCGGGGAGGAAACAGGCAGACAGGTAGGATTTCTAACACTGATTTTATTCTGAGACATGCTGGACAATGAAACAATGGACCGACACAAGACAGAACAAAAGGGGCTTAAATGCACGAGGGCAGGGAGCTAAGGTGATTGGGAAATGAGAGGCAGGTGGGAGCAATTAACGAGACACAAGGCTGAACCAAAACGGGGAGACATGACAGGGTGTGACAAAGGGGATGGGGGCGGTCTCCACTCTGTTTACTCTGTTATAATGGACATCCTTTGATCTTAGAGCTAAATAGTTTTTCATGTGTATTGAATTCCTCCTTTCCACCGTCCACAAAAGCAGGCATATGGACATGTTATATACAGGTATATTATTTATGCTCTATGCTTCCAGATCAGATTAAACTCTGTAGTTGAGATTGGGCTCCAGAGGAAATCAAATGTGTACTGGTATAGTAATAAACACTAACATGTCATCTGCTTAGAGCAAGAAAATTCCCAAAATCTCCCTGTCACAATGTGGAGGTAAGGTGAGGGACGGAAAAGGGGATCCTTCAGGCATGTAAATGAACCCAGGCAAAACAACAATGGACATTTAATTTTTCTTTATTGGTCAGAAGTGCAGACACGATGGGGTAGACGGGTGAAAACACAAATGACATGTAACGAGTATGAACCGTCAAACACACTAGCAACACACGTTGCTTATATTTACACTGGGATGGGTAATCAGGTAACAAGAGACAGGTGAATACAATTAAGATAAATCCCAAGACAGGGGCAAGGGGAGCAACAACGTGACACTCCCAAAGTTACTCCAGAGATCCCAGAGTGGGTTCTGATAGCTTCTGCCTATTGCTCCAACAAAGAGGAAATGGTAAAGGCGAGAGACGACAGCCTTTGCGTGTCCTCCTACCCAAGGGAAAAACATCTAAGGCAGAACCATTCACCAGGACCCATGCAGTAGGTGACCTATAAAGTAGCTTGACCCACTTGACGAATTCATATCCCAAACCAAACCTGTCCAAAACATTGGATAAATACCCCTAATCCACACTTTCTTGGTGTCCAATAAAATGGTGAGAGTCCTATAATTAATGTTATGGGAAAACTGTGGGATGTTTTTAAGTTGACGCACATTTGTGCACATTGGAATAATAATTTAACATATGTTATAAACAAGATTCACCCTCCTACGTTGCTAATGGTGTCAGATGGGCCCTAGGTGCTTTTTTATTTTTATTAATGTATTTTTTTAGGAATGCACCACTTCACCCTTGCCAAAGGATAAACTATCAACCATGTTTAATCACCCCCTGTCCTGTCCTGTCCTGTTTAATCCATGGTTTAAAAATCCTACAGGAAACACTGTGTTACTTTTCCCATTGTTGCAATGCTGTTACTGGTACTGGGCATGGAAAGGGGCATGTTACTACAATGTTGTTGTATAAAGCACAGTGGTGTCAAGCTTTCTGACAGCTAACCTAGTAATGATTCAGTCGCAAACGGAACGGCTGTTCGAGCTGATTGTCATCGTCGGAGGAGGAGGAGGAGGAAGAGGAGGAGGTGGTTTATTTATGCCTGACATGTTTCCACTGCAGCAGAATTCATCACCCATGGTCCAGTGAATTCACCTCACTGGTGCAGCCGTGCAGCACCCAATCCACTGTTTTGCGGTCAGTAGATGCCTTTGATGTGATAAGTTCAAACTAACACATGAGGCGAAAAAGGACTGGACAGTTATCCTGTGGGATTGAGAGGAGATGTAGGAAAATGACAGACGGCACAGGAAAAAAGTTACATAATAAACAAGAAAACAAAACAAAGTGCTTGAAAAGGGAAAATCTAGTAAATTAAAGTAGATTTCCGGAGCCTGCTGTTGATGATAATGTTGATCCTAATGTAACTGAGCAGCACTTAGATGAACTTATACATGCAGTTAAGATCATGCACAATGATGAGACACCGGGCCCAGATGGGTTTTCGATCAA